CCAGACCTCCAGCTTGCCCCTCTCTGATGGCATCCCGCCTGCCAGGCATGCTCTTCCCTCGGGTTTCCTGTGTCTGGCTGGTTCTTGCCACTCAGATTCCAGCGCAAATGTCAGCTCCTGCAGAGGCCTCCCCCGCACCTTCCTGACAAACCAGGTCTGTCCCGGCCTCACGCAGAGCCCTCGTCGCAGTCTCATGCTGCAGCGCTGCTTTGCTGATGTGACTGCTATGCGTGGGACGGCAGGTGGCTCCCAGGGCTGGCAATGGGCCCGGCAGGTACAGTTGGTAGGTGGGAGCACCACTCAACTGGGTCTCCGATGCCCACTTGTGAGGACCTGAGTGGCTGCAGGCTGTCTGAGGCGCGGAGCTGGCCCGGATTGAGCTGGCCTGCAGCAGGTGTCGGTCTGTCTGTGGCCCCATGCACTAGGGAGGCAGGGCTGCGCTCTGAGACCAGGGCTCCCTGCGGGGGACAACCAGCAGGGCCCAGGCGCGCCTCCCTGGGCAATGGGAGCGCTCAGGTGCGGCAGGGCACGTATGCACTGCAGCATCGCCAGGACTCCCCCCGGGTGTGCCTTAGGTCAGCACTGCCGTGGGCACGCTGAGCTGGGAGAGCACGCCCTGGCTGTGAGAGTAATGATGACACCAACAGCCAGTTCTGTGGGCCTCCCTACGCCTGCGTCTCTGAGGCCCTGGACGTATATTTGCTCTTTTAATCTCCACATCCACAGTATTATCAGTGCCATTATGATTCCCTCTTACAGATGAGCAAACTGAGGCACAGAGCGGAGAGTAACCCACCTAAGACACATAGCATGGAAGTGGCAGGATTGGGACCGGAACAGGCTTGACTCAAAGCCTTTCACAAAATGTCTACTGTGCCTGTAGCAAGAGGGGGTTCAGCCGAGGCAGCAGGCCGGCGGCCCCAGAGCCTGGCTCTGTGGGTGTGACCACAAGTCACACGGCTGAGGCTCTTTAAAACGCTTGCCCAGCGGAGAGCTTGTGACCAGCTCCTCCACATCTAGGGCCTCCTCTCTATGTAAAGTCCTTCACCTCTTGGCCGGGAAAAGCTGACTGCACACGCACAGGGCCGGAGCCCGGCGCTGGTGCAAGGGAAGGCCCCGTGGCACGGCAGCAGGAGTGAACACTCTGCTCCCGCCCCCTGGGCTGAACTGCAGAGCACTGCGCAGGGAGCACTACACAGCAAGGAGCTCTGGGCGCTCATCCTGCCCACCCAGGGGCAGGCTCAGAGTCCCTAACTGACTGCAGGTAGGACCCGGCCAGCAGTCCCTGGACAGGGTGGCTGTGACAGGATCCTGCCTGGGACCTGAGGGCTTCCCCTCGGCAGAGGAGCAGGCAGCACCGGTCACTGCCCCCTTGGCCAAGCGGGGACTGCGCAGGCAGGACCTCTGCTCATTTCTGTGGTGAGGGGACCAGTGTGGGCAGGCGCCCAGGATGGGTGTGGCAGCATGATCTAATCCCACGTGGACACGGAGCAAGCAATCCTCCAGCCACCAGCATCCCAGTGGCCCTGGGAGGCACACTTCCAGCCTCCCGCCCGGACACGTCACTTTGAAAGGTTCTTTGTGGCCACACGGCCCACAGGAGAGTGGCTGCCACCGCCAAGGGCCTGCACACCCCGCTCTCTGTAGGGCTTCTGACCTGCAGGATCAGAGGGGAATCCAGAGCATCCCCTCACAGGAACTGCTTGAAGGCACATTGACAGTCACCATTTTAGGCCAGAAACTTGCATTTTAAAATCACTTCTTTAAACCTGACTCCTTTCATTTGTATTTTACAGTCACAGTCTTTCATAACCAATTCTTATCTCGTCCATCCCAAGCAGACTCCACTTCCCACAGCTTCTAAAACAGTCTTCTGCATTTTCAGAAGGATGTTCTGGTTTAAGAGATCAGCTGTAATCCACCTTTTTTGAAGGGGAGAATCTCATTTATTTTGAATATATTTTTATTGATTTCAAAGAGGAGAGGGAGATAGAAACATCAATGATGAGAATCACTGACCAGCTGCCTCCCGACGCCCCTACTGGGGATCAAGCCCATAACCCGAGTATGTGCCCTTGGCTGGAATGGAATCCGAGACCCTTCAGTCAGCAGGCCGACACTCTGCCCACTGAGCCAAACCGGGTAGGGCTGTAACTCACTTTTTAAAATGAACAAGGACCTTGGGTGGATGCTGTGGCTGTGCTGGTTTGGGAACAGCTGGCACAGCCTCTGCAGTGCCTGCTGCCCGAGGCTCACGCAGGCGGGCAACGTGTGTCTGCACCTTCCCAGAGCCTGGCCTGGGGCCTGCTGTGCAGAGGAAGAATGTAATGACATCTTGTCACTTCTGTATGACGGTGCTAGCTGCTCCCCCAGAGGCCCCACTCCCCGCATCAGCCGGCATGGCTTCTCTGTTAGGGATCCTGTGGAAACCAGCATCCCATGAAATAGTAACAGATTTGACTCTGAAAAGAAGTCTGTGGCCAGATAAGTTGCAAAACTGAGAGAAAAAGTTGTTTCTTTTCCACAGGACTTCCCAGAACTGTCGCTGGAAGGCTCTGTGCACCATGGAATCCAGGCTGTGCAAACATATTTGACCAATGTTGTGGGTTTTTTTCCAGAAATATTAACATCTCAAGCTTGCACAGAACGTATTTTGGAGGCTATTAACTTCACCACTGCCATCCCGAAGAATGAACACGCACTCTCCCTGCACGCCTCGGCAGGACCTTCCAGCGGTGCCGTCTGGGCATCACAGGCCGCCCTTCCCGGGCTGGGCGGCGCTGCTGAGCACTTCGGCGGCTTCCCTGCCCGGGACATGATGCCGCTTAACATTTTTCTTTTTTATAAAAAATATTACATAAAGTATTTTACATCAAATTTTACTAACAAAACTTCCTCCACCTACAGTTGAATCATTGGCTTATAGTTAATAACAAGAGTGTAAGGAAAAGCAATGTGGCTGGGTGGGCTTCATTCCTCTTTGAAATCTTGCCTTAACCTTTGAGAGCCATCAGGGGTCTGGCTCCGAGTTTGTTTTCACAGCTGTCAGACTAATCCAAAGAGGAGCGATGGATGCCACTTGGTTTTCAACTGTGCCAGGCACAGCGCCAGTGTGAACGCCTAGCACCAGCCAGGCCTCATGGAGGGGGGTTGTTTCCAACTTTTTACAAGGTCGGGAATGCAAGAAGGCAGGGGACCCCAAGAGCGATGCCAGGCTGAAGTTGATTGGTGTGAACAGAGTGGAGTAGCAGCGTGGTGTGGGCGCCCCATTGGCAGGGTCTGTGTCCTCAGAGCAGCCTCAAACCCTTGACCAGCCTCGCACTTCCCACACGAGCTGCAAGGGTCCAGGCGAGAGCCCATGTCCTCAGTGAGGGCAGCCCGAGGCACCCTTTGCCTCCTCCCTGGGCCTGCAGTCTGCCTGGCTGACTCTGCCATGACACTCCCCACGCTCTCGGCGGGCGGGCGCGGGCGCGGGCGCGGGCAGCAGCACAGCACCACCCCACGAGCCGGCCGCTCTGGGCTCCTTCCTCTCGGCTCCCTGCTTTGCTCAGGGAGTAACGAGACACACTTGTTCATGTCATCCCGCTCCCCAGCTTTTTGTGGACAAAGACACAATTGTGAATGCTGTTGGGACATCACATGACATCCACCTTCTCAAGATTGACAACCGAGAAGACGAGCTGGTGACCAGAGTCAACTCCTGGTGCACACACTTACTGGACAAGGTGAGTGAGCTGCACCCGGCAGGCGGCCTCAGTGCCTCTAGCGTGGCCAGGGAGGAGTGGGAACTCTGCGGTAAGAAGCCAGAAAGTAAAACTACCGGATTCTCCGCTGAAGACTGCACGTTGCCCAGTCATGTGCTTCATCTCTCTTCTAACTCAGTACAGGGTGTCCCAGAACGTACCCACACTCTAACAGCTGATAGGTCAACTGGTGTTGGTTTCCTTTCAGATTTGACCCATTGGAATGAGTCAGTGTGTACACACTTTTGGGGGACACCTGCATGTAGATGGATTAAGCAGAACCCAGGGAGCTGTGGGGTAAATGAGACATAACTATGCAAAATTCAAAGAATTACCTTCCTTTTCCCCAAACTGGACTCACTGAGATATTAATCAATTCTCTGACCTACGGGAATTGGGCTTTGGTCTCACCCTCAGATTCACCAGGACGAGACCATGAGGAACCGCAAGCGAGTGAAGGAGATCAATCAGTTCATGGACCACCTGCAGAATGAACTGGACAACCTTGACAGTGGCGACATTCTAGATTAGGAGTCTGCCCAGAGGATCCCTCGGAAAACGGCACTGGGCCCTGCCAGGAGAGTGTGGGGACTCAGCCCCAAGCCCCCAGCCCCATCCTCCCACCACCCCTGCACCAACTCCCAAATGTAGACAGAAATAAAGGACCGGTGTCACCGTTTCTCCATTCTTTAGAGAGGTATGAGTTTCCTGTTCCTGTGTGAGCAGCAGTAAGCCGGCCTCCCGAGAGCCACTCCCCAGGGTGGGCCGAGGGCTGCGCTCCTGGCCGTGCACCATTCCCGACGGGCCGGAGGGCTGCAGCTGCAGGGGAGTGGGCCAGTATGGACCCCACTGCCCTCCTCTGGGTGCTGAGGAGGGAAGCCGAGGCGCAGCAGCACAAAGCAGAGGCTGCGGCTGTGACAGCTTGGCCCAGGGACCCTCCGGAGGTGGAGAGCACAGCGGGCGTCCACGCCACCCCTGCAGCCAGAACTGCGGTGCAGTGCGGGCGTGAGCATGCCTCCTCTGAGCACAAGCCTGGGACGAGGGACGAGTGGCCAAGCACCTGGCGTGTGGCCAGGCCCCGGACTGGGAGTGATGCCTTTTGCAACTCAGAAAGCCGATGCTCCTGAACCCGGACCGGTTCCGTGCCCTGGGCCCTGGCCCGCGGCGCCGTGCCTCCAGGACTGTGGACAGCCACGTGCTCATCAGGGTGCCTTGCCCAGGCCACCGGGCTTTCAGTCCAGAAATAATGGGCGTTTCTACTTTCAAGAGTAAATTATTACTTTTTTCCTGAAATAGTAGAAACAATCAGCTTAGACCAAAAAGGACACACTTTCCAAAGATCGTTTGACTAAACGCCTGGGGGAAAGCTTTTGGGCTGAGGGTCGAGGGCCCCACAGAGACACAGTTCATGGAGCTATTTGCTGACGGCCTGACAAGAGGCGGCAGGCACCAAACTGCTGGGGGTCTAGGTGAGACCCAGTGTAACAAGGAGAGGAGGGTATGTGGAGGCGCCAACGAAAACAGGGCTCAGCGTCTCTCCCGGGGAGAGCAGTAGGTAATGCAGTCAGGGTGGAGAAAGCCACTCGTACACCTGATCCCCTTGCTGGATAGGCAGGGGCCCGGGGTGGCCTCAAGCTGACCAGACCACCACAGCGTCTCAGGCCCTCAGGTCGACACCGTGTGGGGCCAGGCCATGTCTGCTGGCTTGGGAGCCGGGGCTCAGCCTGTCCCGGCATGCCACGCGCACCGCCGGCCTCACTCCTGCAGGAGCTTGTGCTTGACCGTGGTGCTCTCGGAGCAGAGGTGGATAAAGAGGACGCCGGCAGCCGTGCGTGCCCGGAGCTCCCGCAACTCATAGTCATGGGCCCATTCCACGTGGCCCCACTTCTGGATCTGAGGGAAGGACAAGGGATGTTAGTGAGCAGCTTAGTGCCCAGCCGCTGCAGGCCTGAGCCACATACCACCCCTACAGCTGGACTGAGGGCCACAGGCTCCCAACTCCAAACAGACAAGACACACGTGTTGGGGAGGCTGTGGGAAGCGCACACAGGTGGCCAGAGCAGGCTCCGCCTTCCACGCGGTGTGGATGGTCTAGGAGGGTGCAGTCCAGGCTCGGACAGCAGGCACTCACTACTAGGCAGGCCAGGCACCAAAACCACATCTGCCCTGAGGCCCACCTGTGTGCCATCCCTCTCTCACACGTCTTCCCACAAGGAGGCCGGCACAGGCAACCTATAGATGCCATCCTCTCCTGCGCTGCCTCACCTCTGCGAGTGGGATAGAAAACATCAACCACGGCCACTCGGCACTTCATCTGTGACTGCTAGGGCAGGGCTGCAGACTCTCTCCAGACTCTAAGCCACAGAAGAAACCCGGACACGTGGCTGTCCACACGTCAGCGGAGCTGTCCTCCGCCCTGCTGACTCCTCCTGGCCCGGCCCAGCTGCCCACCTGCTCGGAACTGAGTCAGCCTGCCACAGCAGCTCTCGCACCTCTGGGCTCCTCGTCTCACCTGGACAAGTATGACTGGCCACCTGAAGAGCACGCTCTCCTTTCAGGGAGCACGTGCACACAATCCAGGTGGCTCCCATTTTGTTCAAACCTGAAGTTCAGAAAATAGCAGCCTGGCTTGGGTCCCACCGTCAAAAGCAGAGCCCAGACCAGAAACCAGGTTTCCTGGCTCCCTCCCTCTCAGAGCCTGCCCAGTCTCACCCTCACAGGTCGTCTCTCTACCCCATAATTGCTTCTAACACTCAGAGGACAGCTAGCCTCTTTTGTGATAGTTTCCCCAGGCATTCTTCTGGAGAGGTGACAGAAGAACTTGGGCAGTACCGCCATTATAAAAGGGGCTCATCGTGCTACAGACTGATTTCTAATAACGACTAACCTTAGGAAGTTTGAGAAATAACAACAAAGATTGCAGATTGTCATAATTCTCAGTTTAAAAAAATGCAAACCCTGCTCAGCTGGTGTGTCCAGTGGTTAGAGCATCATTTTTGCACAGCAGTGTATCAGGGTTGATCCCTGGTCAGGACACGTACGGAAGGCAACCAATTGATGTTCTGTCACATCTATGTCAATCTCCCTCCTCCCGCCGCCTCTAAAATCAGTGCACATGTCCTCGGGGGAGGATTTAAAAATGATAATTCAGCCCTGGCGAGTGTGACTCAGTTGGTTGAGTGTCCTCCTGTGAACCAAGGGGTTGCTGGTTCAATTCCCAGTTGGGGCACACATGTCCAAGTTGTGGGCTCAATCCTCAGTAGGGGGTGTACAAGAGGCAGCTAATTAATGCTTTCTCATCAGTGTTTCTCTCCCTCTGTCCCTGTTCTTTCCTTTCTGAAAATAAAAAAAAATTAAAAATTAAAAAGCAAATGACAGCAGAACTGACCCTACATCAGCACTCCATCAGCCTGTGCACAGCAGCAGCTCGCTCTGTATGCCCTGCATGGATGTCAGGGCACAGAGGCTGTCTCCAAGAGCAACCCCGTGGCTCCAGCCATTTTAACGGACCATTTTCAGATGTGCCAGGCCCAAAGGATCTTGATTTGCCACGTGCTGGGTGGGGGGTGAAGGCCTGGACCTGGAGTCACCTGGCTCCAGCATTTTCTGAGGATTTGGCCTGTGCCTCGGTTTCCTAGTGTGTAAATGGGCATAACAACAGCCCCCACGTGATCAGGCTGTTTGGGAGAGGGGTTGAGGCAATGAGGGAGAGCTGAGCTCGATGCTGTTCCAGTTTCTGTTATTTACGCAAAAGTAATAAAATAGATGGGTTACCCCCGAACCCCAGGTAGTCTGAATCTGGAGGGTAAGGTGGGGACTTGAAGTGCTTGCCTCTGGGCTGCTACAAACCTCACCTGGTACTCCTCCTCCAGGCGGGACAGCAGCACGGCCTGCTCCACTGTCAGATGCAGGTCCATCAGGCCCAAGGTCAGCATCACGGACTTGAGTTGGGTCACAACAAATTCAATCCCTGCAGGGACATAAGCCAAGTCAGGACCCAGGACACCGCCACCCTGAAACAAAGCAGTGGCTAGACCTTCTCCTTGTGCGTTCCTACACCCTAGAGGTGGGGGAGATGAGTCACAGGGCTTCTTGATGGGCCCTAGGTCCCTCCTCCTCCTCCTGCTCCGTGAGGGGAGAGTCCTCCTCTGCTCCTGCCTGGGTGGGCACATGACTGGAACCATTCCAGCCCTGCCCCAGTGACTGGTTCATGGATGGGCCGATGAGACTTGAACTTCTGGAGAAAGCCAACCTTCTCCTAGGAGGGTGTGAGCCTGCTGTCCCCTCAAACTGAGCAAAGTGAGCAGCAGACCCACCCCACAGCATGCTCCTGTGATTCTCGGGCTACGGACACCCATGCCAATCCCTCCACACCCCAGGCCTAGGAAATGCCTGCATACCTTGTAGGGCCCACATGTTGTAAGATGCCAGGTGGCTGACGAGCACCTCCCGAGTCCTGGTGGGGATGCTGGGCCCCATGATGCTGGTGGAGGAGCCAATCTCCACGCCGTACCTGAAAGGAAAGGCTTTGGTTGCTGTGCACCTCAGCTTTGCCCAGAAGCAAAGCCCTAACTGCTCAGCAGGTGTGCACCCCTCCAGGGCAAGTGGTGAAGAAGTCGGCCTCGAGGATTCTGGGAGCAACTACCACGGTGGTCAGTGACCTCCTGACCTAGTAATTTTTATCATGAGCAAAGCCAGAGGCTCAAGAAACTGCCATCAGGGGACAGCAGGCTCACACCCTTCCAGGAGCACGGACCCAGGACTCAGGAGGACACAGTCCAATTCCCAGTCAGGGCACATGCCGGGTTGCGGACTCAATTCCCAGAGGGGGGCGCGCAGGAGGCAGCGGCTGATCATTCTGTTTCTCTCCCTCTCCCTTACTCTCTCTGAAATCAATAAGATAAAATACATTTTTTAAAGAAGTAATTATCCCGAATGGAGGCACAGTTATGCAAGTTGTGCCAGGAGGGAATTCTCTTTGCCTAGGATCAAAAGCATGGGCTAGCAATAAAAATAAAAAAAATAAAAATAAAAAAAAGGATGGGCTACCTGCTTTTTAAATTTTTTAAGAAACAATTTTCACATTGAGCTCATAAATGATTTCTTTCAAATATTGTTTTCCTTAAAATAACACCTGTGTATGTGTATATTATTCAATATTTTATCAAATATTTATTAAGCCTGTACTATATACAAGGCATTGTTTGTTGCATGGGATATCAGCTGGCTTCAAGAATGATGTATTTTCACGCCAAGACCGGTTTGGCTCAATGGATAGAGCGTCGGCTTGGGGACTGAAGGGTCCCGGGTTCGATTCCGGTCAAGGGCATGCACCTTGGTTGCGGGCATATCCCCACTAGGGAGTGTGCAAGAGGCAGCTGATCGATGACTCTCTCATCGATGTTTCTAACTCTCTGTCTCTCTCCCTTCTCTCTGTACAAAATCAATAAAAAATAAATAAAAAAAAAGAATGATGTATTTTCAAAAACAATCATAACTACATAAAATACAGGAAAAACATAATGGAATAAAAGCAATTTAGTACTCATCTGGCACCATATATAGTATTTACAAAAATATTGACTATATTCCCTATTCCCTATGCTATATTTTACATCCCCGTGACTTTTATGTAATTACCAATTTGTGCTTTTTTTTTTAAATCCTCACCTGAGAATATTTTTCCATTGCTCTTTAAAAAAGGAAAGACAGAGGGGGGTGGGGGTGGGGGGGAAACATGGATGTGAGAACATCGATTGGTTGCCTTCCACACAAGCCCCAATTGGGCCCGGGCATTGAACCTGTAACCCTTGACCAGGAATCAAACCCACAACCCTTCAGTGCATGGGCCAACATTCTAACCACTGAACCACACCAGCCAGCGAGCAATATTTTGTGCTTCTTAGTCCCTTCACCTTTTTCACATAGCCTCCAGCCCTTTGACAACTATCAAAATTTTCTCTGTAAGTCTTTATTTTGTTGTTTACATTTTACATATAAGTGAAATCATATGGTATGTGTCCTTCTCTGAGCACATGTCCTGTATGTCCATCCATGTTGTCATAAATGGTAAGGTTTCATTCTTTTTTATGGCTAATATTTCACTGTATATATGTACCATATCTTCTTTATCTATTTGTCTTTTGATGGAAGCACCTTATGTTGCTTTCATATCTTAGCTACTGTAAATAATGCAATGAAAATATAGACACATATGTCTTTGGGTTTCTTTAGATAAATACCCAGAAGTGGAATTGCAGGGTCTTTTTTTCTTTTTAAAAAAATATATTTTATTGATTTTTTTTTTTTTTTTTTTTACAGAGAGGAAGGGAGAGAGATAGAGTTAGAAACATCAATGAGAGAGAATCATCAATCAGCTGCCTCCTGCACACCTCCTACCGGTGATGTGCCCACAACCAAGGTACATACCCTTGTTCGGAATCAAACCTGGGACCTTTCAGGCCGACGCTCTATCCACTGAGCCAAACCAGTTTCAGCTAAGTCTTTATTTCTTGTTGTAGCCTTTGTTTTAAAGTCTATTTTGTCTCGTATAAGTATCGCTATTCTAGCTTTTGTTTGTTTCCATTTTCATGAATAACTTTCCCATCCCTTTATTGCAGTCTGTATGTATCTTTTTATCTGAAATGAGTCTCTTGTAGATAGCATATATATGTTTGCTTTCATATCCATTCAGGCATTCTGTGTCTTTTGATTGGGTTATTTAATCCATTTGCATTTAAAGTAATTATTAATAGATAGACTAGCAGCCCGGTGCACGAAATTCGAGCATTGGGGGTGGGGGGTCCCTCAGCCCAGCCTGCACCCTCTGCAATCTGGGACCCCCTCAAAAGATGTTCTACTGCCAGTTTATAGGGATTGGGCCTAAACCGGCAGTTTGGCATCCCTCTCACAATCCGGGACTGCTGGCTCCAGCAGCTCACCTGCCTGCCTGCCTGATTGCCACTAACCACTCTGTCTGCTGGCCTTCTCACCCCCAACTGACCGACCCCCTGTTAGCCTGCTCGCCCCTACTTAGCCTCCCCACAGGCCTGCTCACCCCCAATTGCCCCCCTGCTGGCCTGCTCACTCTAAATTGCCCGCCCCCTGCCGAAACCGGTTTGGCTCAGTGGATAGAGTGTCGGTCTGTGGACTGAAAGGTCCCAGGTTCGATTCTGGTCAAGGGCATGTACATTGGCTGCAGGCACATCCCCAGTAGGGAGTGTGCAGGAGGCAGCTGGTCGATGTTTCTCTCTCATCGATGTTTCTAGCTCTTTATCCCTCTACCTTCCTCTGTGAAAAATCAATAAAATATATTTAAAAATAAAAATAAAAAATAAATTGCCCCCCCCCCCCCACTGCTGTCCTGCTCACCCGCAACTGGCCCCCCTGCTGGTCTGCTTACCCCCAATGGCCCCTGCCATCCCATCCTGGCCTGATCACCCCCCCGGGTGACCCAAGGTCCCAGCCCCTCCTTTTTTCTTTTCTTTTTTTTCAGTGCCTCCTTGAGCAAAGGGCCAGCTGGAAGCAAGTATCTAGGATTTATTTATCTTCTATAATTGAAACCTTGTAGCTTTGAGTGGAGGCCAGGGCCAGCCAGGAAGCTTAGCTTCCTCCATTACTGGGGGCAACTCAAGCCTCCTACTTGCTCAAGCTCTGTGGCCAGCTGCCATCTTGGTTGGGTTAATTCACATACTCACTCCTGATTGGCTGGTGGGCATAGCTTGGGGTTAATTTGCATGTTTCTCTTTTATTAGTGTAGATATATATTTATTGCCATTTTGTTATTCATATTCTTTTTTTTTTCTTCTTAGAGAAGATCCTTTAACATTACTTGTAATTTTGGTTTGGTGGTAATAAACTCCTTTAGTTTTTTTCCTTATCTGGGAAACTCTTTACCTGAATTTCAATTCTACATGAGAGCTTTTCTGGGTAATTTTGGTTGTAGGTCCTTGCTTTTTATCACTTTAAATATTTCATGCCAATTCCTTTCAGGCCTGCAAAGTTTTTGTTGAGAAATCAACTGAAAGTCTTGAGAACTCCCTTGTAGGTAACTGTTTTTCTCTTGCTGCTTTTAAAATTCTGTCTTTAACCTTTGGTATTTTAATTATCGTGTCTTGGTGTGGCTCTCCTTAAGTTCATCTTGTTTGGGACTCTCTGTGCTTCCTGAATTTGTGTGTCTTTTTCTTTCACCAGTTAGGGAAATTTTCTGTCACTATTTTTTTAAACAGGTTTTCAATTCCTTGCTTTCTTTCTGCTCCTTTTGGCACCCTCATGAAGTGAATGTTGGTATGTTTGATGTTGACTCAGAAGCCCCTTAAACTATCCTCATTTTTTTTAATTGATTTTTCTTTTTGCTGTTCTAATGGGGTGTTTTCTCCTACCTTATATTTCAAATCGCTGATTCAATCCTCTGCTTCATCTACTCTACTGTTGATTCCTTCTAGTGTATTCCTCATTTCAGTTATGTAATTCATTTCTGACTGGTTTCTTTTTTATGTTTTCTATCTCTCTGTTGAAGTTCTCACTGAGAACTTTTAGAGCTGCTACCCTAACTGAGCTCAGAGCTAATAAGTCTGTGCACAGGCCCTTTAAGAGGAACACCTGGGACTTCCCTCACTCACCCACAATTCCTGCTGGTTTTCACAGTTAGAGGTTATGGGGGCTTCTCTTCCATGCACTAGAACCGTGGACTGGGAAGCAAGTTGTAGGGTTGGGATCCATCTCTCTTGAGGGGGGACCTCCATAGCTGAGATATCCCTCCTGATATTTAACCACCTCATGTGGGTGTGGGACCTACCTGTCCTGCATCTCCACCCCTCCTACCAGTCTTATGTGGCTTCTTGTGTGTATCCTTAGTTAGGGAACATCTGTTCAGCTAAATATCAAGTAGTTTTCAACAATAGTTGTTCTTCAGTTTAGTTTTCATTTTGATGTGGTCATAGGAAGATGCAAGTACCACATTTACCTACTCCGCCATTTGATCGGAAGCCGTATTTACTTTCACATATCACTGATTTTCCCCACTGGTTTAGAAATATTCTTTCTGAATTTCTAACAGTACAAATGAAGCATAGCAAATGGCCCAGTTTTTCTGTAAATTATTAACAAGAAATCTCAAAAAAAAAAAAAAAAGCTAACAATTTTGTATAATAACAAAGATTTCCAAGTACCTAAATATTCTTGTATTTCATTAAACACTAAAATGGCATTGTATTCTCATAGTTCTTAAACAGTACTATATTTGTTACATTTTACTTGATCCATGCCTTTTACTATAGAAACCAAGGATGCCTGGGACATAGTGGGCACTCAAAAAATGTGTACAAATGACACAGACTGACTGACAGACATCACTTTTGTGGGCAAGAGGGAGCGGGAAGCTATGCCAAAAACTACTCCATATAAGCTTATGAAATACTGTGGGGTCAAGATAGTACCAAGGTAGTAGCCCTTACAAAGTCCCCTTGGAATGAAACTGAATTTGCCACAACATCAATATTCTATTCAGTTTGCACAAAAGAATCTTCTTGCTAAGGAAGCATCAATTCCCGGACACCTTATATCCACAGGATAAATGTTACCTAAAATTTTATAGGATGCTGTTCAGACTTTTCTCTGTGAGTTAATATCATATAAATCGTTTTCTGATTTATTTTAATAGTGTACCAATTGTGACAACAGTAAAGAGGATAACTGCCGGGATGTAGCACTTACTGTGTGCCAAAAAGGATGCTAACCATCACTTCATTTAGTCCTCACAATACCCTAAGAGGTAGGGATTAAAAACCCCACACACAAAGAAGCTAACGCTTAGGGAGATCAAGTCCACACAGATAATCATGGCAGAACTGGGGCCCCATACCTATAGTTGGCACAATGCCTACTTGGTGCATGATGGCTGAGACAAATGTGAGGAAGTTTTTCCAAGGTGGCCCGTTCCTGATGATCTGAGGGTGCCAAATCCTAAGGGTGCTCTGGACCCAGGAAGTCTACCAGCTAAGGACTGCTTTATCCAGCATGGCCCCTGGCCTAAGAGCCTGCCCAGCACACCAGGTTGCATGTCTTACCTCTTCTCAGCCCATTCTAGGATTGGGTCCCATTCGTTCTTCTGAAGTTCCACTAATGTCTCTGGTTCTTCCACCCTGTAGCTAATTCATTGCAAAATCACCTTCATTAATAAAAAGCACAATTCCTTCATTCAGTGACAGACAACAGAAAAACAAAAAGCAACAGCAAAGAGAACTTCACCACTGCCCCGGCCCCACAGATCTTTCTCCTAAAGCAGTAGTTCTCAAAGGGAGGCCTTAGGGCCAGTAGCAGAGCACCATCTGGGAACTTAAGAGCAAATCTCAGGCCCCAACCCATACCTTCAGAAAGCAGAACCTCTGGAGGTGTTTTAACAAGCCCTCTAAGGGGTTCTAATGTGAACCTGACTTTCACAACCACTGTCCTAAATGTCCCTGATTATTTGACGGGTGAAGGCTGGCGGCACTATGTTAGTATTATTCTAAACACTAATATCATACTCTCAGATCTACTCAGTCCTAGGAGGCTGACCGTGAATGCTACCTGGACCTGTCGCTGCATCCCTACCTCCCTGCAGCCCTTCCAAGAGAGTGTATTCCTGGCCAGACCAAGTTGCCGATTTGGACTTCATGAGCCCACCTGCCTCCTGACTACAGACGCAGCTGCTGCCACAGAGGCCTGACACCCTGATGCCAGGCTACACTACTTGTTTTGAATAAGAGACAAAGAGATGGAGTCGGCTGAGGGGAGCTTAGCTGCAAGGCTTCATGGGACAGGAACCAAAGTGGGCACTGTGGAAAACCAGTCTGGTGTGAGCAGAGGGGAACAGAGAAATCATGAGAGTGCAAGCAAAGCTGGGCTGCCGAGGAGCAGACAAGTGTGCTGAATCCCCTCAAGGCACAGGGAGGAACTCTGGTAGCCAATCTCCCAGCTCCCATACCAGGTGACCAACTGTCCTTCATTCTTATCAGGACCCTGTGTGGTTTTTAAGAAAACCCTTTTACCTGAGCTAAGTTGAATAGCTTCTGTTCCCTGCAATCAAATGGCCCCGAACACATATGGGGACTTTCTGACTAGCAACTCGAAGCTCGCACTGCTGGCTGCCTCTCCAGGAGGCGCTCCCCTCAGCCCACTGCTGGCTTCACATGCCATCCGTGAGAACTCAGCCAGCGGGCACCATGCAGCTCGGCAGCTTCAGCACTGCTTCCGATCCCCTCAGCATCACTAACCAATTAGCTGAAGGACACAGAGAAGGAACTCCTTCGGCCTGATGCCTTCCACTGGGACAGTTCTCTCCCTGCCTTCGGACTGACTAAAAATGGCTCATCCCAGTTCTCAAGCCTGCTGGCACGCAGACAGATACATGGCAGCTTTCATGGGTATCCAGTTCACAGACTAAAGACCTAGGGATTCTCAGTCTGCACAGTCCGTGAGTCACGGTTTGTAATAAGTGTGTGTGTGTGTGTGTGTGTGTGTGTGTAGATATATGCATTTTTTAGGCCTTCAGACCTGAACTGAATTATGCCACCGGCTTTAATTCCCTAGCTTGTAGGTTGTGAGGCTGCTTGGCCTCTAAAATTGAGTGAATCAATTCTTTTTTTTTTTTTCTTTAAATTAAAAACGAAGAACATAGACAGGATGGGAAAATTTAGAAGTGGAAGAAGCTAGCTCCTGAATATCAACATCTGGCCATCCTTGTCCAGGCTGACAAGCAGTGAATGGGAAGGATGCCGACGTGAGACTGATCTGGTAGCCTAGGGTCAGAGGCCCTGCTGGGGACTGGCAAGTGGCCCTTAGTCCTGGAGCCTACAAGAGCTGCATACACCACCACCACCCACCACCCACCACCCACCACCCACCACCCGCTCCAGCCGAGGGATGGCTGCTGGGCTGCGGAAGAGCTGTGCCCAGCCAGGAGCTCTCCTTCCTCGGGGTTTGCAGAGCAGCTGAGAGCGAGCTAGTTGCTCTCCCTGCCCAGTGAGATAATGGAAAATCGCCTCTTCTTCTACTGATAACTGGGCAAATGAGGCGAAACAGCCCAAAGAACTCACTAGGTCCAAGGAGAATGCTCATCTAAACGTCAATTACCAGATGGTGTCTGTGTCCAGGAACTTCACAGCTGCCCGGATCAGCTGGTCCTTGTTTCGTTGCGTTGGATTGTCTAAAGATGTGTTGCACAATGTGGTCTGAAACAAAAGGCAGAGAGCCCTGTCACCACCCACTGGGCCCAGGCAAAAACCACCGCATTCCCGAGGACACCGTGTCCAACCCACAGCATCAGAGAGAACCAGCCAGCGACACCCAGCAAGGAGCAGTGCCCGCCAAAGCCCTCGACCTAAAGCCTCAGCTGCAGCACATCTAGTGAGAGCTTGCCACAGCAGGTTCCGTGCCAGAGCACTCGGTGACAGCTCATGGCTCCGGATAGTCACAGAGGCCTAGGATTAGCGTACTTCCCAAGGTCTCATACTCTTCTACCAGACTGCTGCATTCCACTGAATCCTCACAACAACCCTTTGGATAGGTACCATTATACCCATTTCAGAGATGTGGAAATGGAGTCCCAGAGAGGTCAAATTCAGTAAATAAGACACATAAGCATTACTAGAATTCAAATCTGACTGAAAAACTCACCAGCTGGCTCCATTCACACCTCAGGAAGCAGGGGAACAAGTGAGCAGAACAGGATTACTTTCCAGACTGGCCTTGTTGACAGTGGCTGTTAGGGACTCTACCGTTAGCTTGCAGCCCATCCCCTGTGTCATCAGACAGTCAAAGGCACAGCCCGCACACAGCCGGCTGGGAAGGTGTTGAGGAAGCGTGCTGGTATACAGGCCGAGCCGGGTGATGGGGGGGGGGGGGGGCTGAGGGGGGACAGGATGAAGCACTAACTCCAGTGTTGACTGACTGCTCCCTCTCTGTAGGTGCCAGGGACCACACCCAGGCCTTTCTACGGTCAGCTCACCCCATCTGACCACTCCACGAGGGGGCAGTCACCACCTCTCACAGATGGCAGACAATGGGGCCGGAAACGGGCAGGAACTTGCCCAAGGTTACGGTTTGGAAGCTGCAGGGCCTGAGCCCAGTCTAGCTGACTCTTCCTCACTGCTCCAGTGCCTCAGTGAGCCACCCCGTGCAAATGGGGGCTGCTCCATGGGATTCCTCACCTCACCCACCTGCCCCTTGGGCTCTTGAACTCAACCAGTACTGACTGCCAACGTAATTCACAACACTCATCAGACAGGCATGGTCCTGCCCGTCTGTGCTTCCCCAATGCAAACACTATATGGTGCTGCTGATGGAACAAGCCAGCTGCATGACAGACAGTAAGACAGCTGGGCAGTTAGCGGGACACATCTGCCTGAGCCCAGAGAAGCAGCCCGCCAGCCAGCACAGCGCTCTGAGCAGAGACCGCAGGTGGCCAGGCCATGGGGGAATGTTTGGCACATTGGAGGAGGCAAGTGAGGCAGCAGCATCCCCAAGGACTTTACTGTAATTTAGGTAGGAATCTCCCGATTTTTGCCAGGTGCCTAGAAAGCCAAGAGCAGGCATCAAAGTATAGGTGTGCAAACTTGTTACCAGATGCATGGTGTAGAACTTGATGGTGTCCTGCTGGGAGTCCCACTCAGTGGCCACTGCGATGGCCAGGGCCTCACTGGGGACAGTAAAGAGCTTGGCTTGGGGAGTTTTCAGCTTCCTGTGGTCCAGGTTTATCTCAAAGCCACCTTGAAAGATCAAATGAAAACCTCTCAGGGACTGTTAAGTGGAATCAAGTGACCATTCTATATTTAGCTACCTGAACTGGAGCAAAAACAACCGAGTCCCTCCGTGGGGGACTTATAGAAACATATGCGACAAAAGTGAGAAGGTCAGCTCACCACCCAACTGGCTGGAGATGAAAAATGTTTCTACCCATCAACCGGGGTGTGTGTGTGTGTGTGTGTGTGTGTGTGTGTGTGTCAAAATTTCAGATACTCACCTTCACCCTGTGTGATGGTGACATTCTGATAGAATCTCTTCCTTTCTGTGGGAAAGATTTTTCAAAAAGGCAGTTATAATCATGTTGAGAGAGCTCAGGAAGCAACAAGACCAGCTTGCTAATGCTGGCTGATTGGCTTGATTGTCATATCACTAGTCAAGGTCTGCCCTACTCTGTAGCATAATCAACAGCTTCTGATTAAAGCTGGTGGTTCCCTCTCCAGGGAGAAGAGAGAACAACTGGTCAAGCCCCCGCCAGCCCAGGGACAGTCTGATCACGCAGCATCGTAAGCCTGCAGACCGAATGACCCGAAAGACTTTTCCAGCACCTTCTGCTTTAACTTCTAAGCATGTTCCTCCCACACCAGCCCCACGAGTGCCGCCCCGTGCCAGCACAATGTGCCCAAATCTAAAGATGGCCTCTGGTGTGATAAAGCCAGAGACCCATTCAAGGCAGGAGTGGAAGGCAGGGTGAACGTGACGTGCATATCCATGACTGTGATGCACAAGCAGTAAGCAGAGATCCCAGGAGCATTTCCATCCCCTATACTAATTAATTAACCTAATTTACCAGCTTGCCTGTGTATTCAACAGGAACTCCAAACATTTCCTTTAGGAAGGAAAAATCTGTGTCCTGTTCTTCTGAAAATAACCTGAATAAAATCTTACATAAAAATATAAACACATTCTCCTCTTTCACCTGGGGGGATTAGAAAACAGGAGTACTGCATAAGGAATTATGCAGATTCCTTCAATTAATAAAGAACAAATAGGTCACATTTTGGAAATTATAAACCATAACCCAGTCCTTACATCTGTGATAAACAAAATCATTCATTCATTCATGTGTTTGTTCTTTCACATATTATTCATCTGGTACCTAAAGCCTTCAGAGTCTGACCAAAGTCAGTTATTGAAAATGATTATGTAGCATGTAAAGGAAAAGGAGATTCATTAGTAGTTTTTAAAGCTTTTTTGAGTTCTTTTAATTCTTAAAAAATGTATTTTTATTGATTTTAGAGAGGAAGGGAAAAAGAGAGAGAGACAGAAACATTAATGATGAGAGAGAATCATCTATCTGTCACCTCCTGCAAGCCCCCTACCAGCGTTGGAGCCCACAACCAGGCATGTGCCCTGACTGGAAACTGAACCATGACCTCCTGGTTCATAGATTGATGCTCAACCACTAGCCACACTGGCCAAGCTCAGTTGAAGTTTTACTAATTCAAATAGACTATGAAAACAAAAACTTGGTTTATGTAGCAGAGGATGGAAAGAAAGTATCTGGTCTTACTACAAACATATTTTTGTTTTGCAAATTTTTTTTCATGAATCTCACTTGCTATCATTAATGCTTACACATGGAAATTACAGTCCCATGTTTGCACTTACTAAATAAGACCCAAACTGGTTTCCCACAAAATATATTTGTGCCAACTTTTATCAGGTACTATTCTAGGTACGTTGGATGAAACAGTGAATAAAACAAAATTCGTGTCTTCATAGAGTTTAAATTTTCTTTTTAAAGTGATCAGATCTAACTACCAAGATGATGCTACATTATTACAGCACAATATGCCATCTTCATCTGAACTCGTAATCCTGAGTCCCTCACAGCTGACACATCAGGAGGTTTACCCACCCTGCTGCTTGTAAATGTCCTTACTGTACAGGCTGGCGGTCACACTCACATGGCAGGTGCGAGCATTCGGAGGCTCCTGTGTGTGTGGTCTGGACCACGGCATCCAGATGACAGCCAGGGTGCTCTCCAATGTCTGGGCTGGGCAGCAAGTCCGCAGCCAGGCCAAGCAGGAAGTTGGAAGAGCTTTGAGAGCTGACTCATCACTGGGGTGTGGCTGGGGATCCTTCCCTGAGCAGGAAGTGTCAACGGAGAGCATTCTAGCACACAGCCCTCAGAAATGGGTCCAGGAGACCTGGGGGCCAAGGAATGGACTCTGCCAGCACAGACTGAACCATCCAAAGGTGCCAGGACAGCAGGGTTTCCCACAAGGGAAGAGTCGCTTTTTTTTTTTTCCTGCCTTGCAGGCCAGGCCTTGGCTCCTCTGACGTGGCCAGTCCCTCTTCTTTATCTGTTAAGAGGAAGAAAAAACTAGAAGGGAGTGGGGTGGATGCATGGCCAAGGAAGGGGCAACCAAAATTGCTCAAAATATTGAATAGGAGAAAACCAAGAGATAACTGGGCAAAAGGAGATCAAAGGCTGCTGGGCACATGTGCAGGTGCTCCAGACAGGCCTTCTCCTGAAGGGAGCAGTGGCAGGTAGAGGGCTAACTCCAGGCTTGGAAGTTTTGAAATAAACTCTGGCATGAATCTCTTTTTAGTAAGTGTGGTAAGTCCTGGCAACAGGACTCAAAGTTCACCCCCACCCTAGAAGGACTAACTCTCCTGCGGGAAGACAGACACTAAACCAGCCAAACAAGAAAGGGGCATGATGGCCAAAGTCAAGGAACAGACACACAATGGGGAAGCTCGGTCCCATCGTGGGCTAAAGGAAGAGCTCCCAGCAGCAAGTTCCATCTGAGACCTGCAGAGGAAGGAGAGAGTCAGTCTGCATGGATGGGTTCATTTTTAGAGGGTGTCTAAAAAGAGCAAACAGCTGACACCAGTCTGGGGCCTCAAGAGAGCACAGAGTTTTGAAGAACTAGAAAGAGGGTCAGAGAAGACTGTAGCTATCCAGCAGGTGCCAGAGGGGCGTAGGTTACAGTAAGGAGGAGAGAGGGAGTCAGGTAAGGCATTCTCATAGGCAAATATGACCTGGAAATTCATTTGGTGGGAGTCAGGCTCCCCAACAATGACAAAAGATAAAGGTTCTTCACCTGGGCACTCAAAGATCTTGGGTCCATAAGACAAATCATGAGGCCATTAGAAGCCTATGAACCCCCATAGACTCCATTAATACAGGCCTAGCCGACAGCAACAGGAACACCATCAAATGAGGAACTTTTGTAAGAATATGAACAATAAAGGTTTATTAAATAATAAATAAATAAATAAAAATAAAAACCAGGAACACCATCTTTAACGGGAAGAAACAGCCTAACCTTGTAGGAGCACACAGAACTCGGGTCTATTTTGAGTATGAATCACTCCCTTTACACAACATCTGTTTCTGTGGCAAAAACATACCCAGCGGCTTTTAAGAGACAATTTTGTGGACCATGTAGATACAGAGAAATAGGTAAGTAAATAAGTGCTGAATTTAAAAAGCTGACCACAAGAACACAGGCTATATAAGCAGAGAGAAGTTAATAAGAAAATATGCTCTTGTGAAGAGTGCTGAGTTAGACATTAATGACCACTGGGTCCCAGTTCCTGTGAAGCTGCTTTGCTCCATATTAAAAAGCAGGCATTTTCTCTGTCGCTTGGTCCTACACTGCTCCTCCTGTCCCAGGCCTCATGGGCTGGCAAATGACCTGTCAGCCCCAATTACCGAGCCGGCCTTTGCTTTGTAAGGACTCAGAGCTACAGCTCCCGCTGAGCACCAGGAACCGAAGTGCCTTCTGTACCTTTATCTTTTTAAACAGTGCCATCTGGCGGGGCTTAAGCCTTAAAACTGAAGTCCTCTCTAGGGATAGGCCTCAGCTCAGAAAGGGAGAAGAGGGGGCTCTGACCAACTGTTTCTGGTATCAAAATTTTTCAGGCCAACAATATAAAGAACTCTTACAACTCAACAATAAAAAGACAAATAACCCAATTAAAAATGGTTAAAGGATCTGAATAGATATTTCTCCAAAGAAAATATACAAATGTCCAAAAAGCACATAAAAATAGGCTCAACATCATTCATCACCAGGGAAATACAAATCAAAACTGGGATGGCTATAATAAAAAAGACAGGTAATAACAAGTGCTGGCGAGGATGTGAAGAAATTGGGACTTTCCTGCACTGCCAGTAGAAATGTAAAATGGTGCAGCCACCTTGGAAAGCAGTGTAGTGTGTTAGTTCCTCAAAAGATTAAATAGTTACCATTTGACCCCAGAATTATATTTTGGATATATGAGGGATGAAAACATATACCCATATAAAAATTTGTACACCAATGTTTATAGCAACATTATGCAAGACAGTCAAAATATGCAAACAACACAAATGCTCATCAATAGGTGAATGGATAAATAAGATGGAATATTACTCAGCAATGAAAAAGAACAGAGTACTAATACATGCTTCAACTTATATAAACCTTGAAAACATTCTAAGTGGGGGGGGAGAGCCAATCAAAAAAGACCACATTCCATTTATATAAAATGTTTAGAATTGGGGAATCTATAGAAACAGAAACTAGTGGCTGCCTACAGCTAGAGAGGACAATGGGAGGGCAATAGCTAAAGGGCACAGGGTTTCTTTTTGACAAAATAGAAATGTTCTAGAATTGACTGTGGTGATGGTTGCATAATTCTGTGAGTCTACTAAAAACCATGTAATTGTTCACTTTAAATAAGTGAAGAATAGCCAAAACCGGTTTGGCTCAGTGGATAGAGCGTCGGCCTCCGGACTCAAGAGTCCCGGGTTCAATTCCAGTCAAGGGCATGTACCTTGGTTGCGGGCACATCCCCGGTGGGGGGTGTGCAGGAGGCAGTTGATTGATGTTTCTCTCTCATTGATGTTTCTGACTTTCTATCCCTCTCCCTTCCTCTCTGTAAAAAATCAATAAAATATATTTTTAAAATAAATAAGTGAATAAGTGAATTATACCTCACTAAATCTGTTATAAAATTCTTCACACCGAATGTATCTGCCATAGCAATTAAAATATATATTTTATTGATTTTTCACAGAGAGGAAGAGAGAGGGATAGAGAGTTAGAAACATCGATGAGAGAGAATCATCCATCAGCTGCCTCTTGCACACCCCCTACCGGGGATGTGCCCGCAACCAAGGTACATGCCCTTGACCGAAATTGAGCCAGGGACCTTTCAGTCCGCAGGCCGACGCTCTATCCACTGAGCCAAATCGGTTCCGGCTGCCATAGCAATTAATGTAAGTGGGCTAAATGACTAAACACACTTTTTCCAAAGTGTTATAGCATCTAGAGCAGAGGCTGGCAATTTTTTTCTGTAAAGAGCCAAATAGCAAATATTTTAGTCTTTGCAGGCCATTCGGTCTCTGTTGTACTCAACTCTGCTACTGTAGTGAAAGTAGCCCTAGACAATATGTAAATGAATGAGTGTGGCTGTGTGCCAATAAAACTTTAGTAGGAAAACAGGTGGCAGGCTGGATGCCTTATCTACAGATTCTCTCTACCGCAACCATGAGAAAGATGCCCCTGAGGGGGCAGAGAAGCTAAATGACTGTCCAGGTGACAGCTGCAGAGGGAGCAGACAAGACTTCTAAACCTGACTTCACTGGGTGTTTGCATTCGGCCACACAGGCTACCCCTCCACAACACCTTCCCTTCCACGCAGCGGGTACAGCCTGGCACAGGTCTCCTTCCTGCAGCACCTCCTCTAGCACCCAACGGCCCTGCTTAACCCCCCTTCTTCTTCAATGACACGGCCACTCCTAAGAGGCCAAGACCATCTATCTATCAATACCTACCAGCAGAAATCTTCAGCAAGGCCCCTTTTGGATTTAACCTCCTGCCATTCCAAACGCTCTCAGAATCACACAATTAGCAAAATCTCTGTAGATCACTCATAGGCCTGGTTCACGTATCTCACTCCACTGTGCTTTATTACTTCTTTCATTCATATTTCTTTCGCAGTTGACTACCTACCGTGTGCCAAGTACTTCCAAGAGCCCAAACTAGTACGTCTGCAGTAGAAAGGAAACGGAGCCCTAGCTGGGTAGCTTACTTGGTTACAGTGTTGTCCCAATATGCCAAGGTTGTGGGTTCAGTCCCTGGCCAGGGCACATGTAAGAATCAACCAATGAATGCATAAATAAGTGGAAACAAATTGATATTTCTTTCTCTCTTTCTCTTTTTCTCACAAATCAATTAAAAAATTCACACACACAAAAAAAGGATGAAGTACCACCATAATGGGAAGTGGCATCCATTAACCTAAATTAACCCTCTGCTTTTGCCAACTTAAGTGAACTCCACCTTTCATTTTCCTTTACACACTCACACAGACATTCCAAACGTGTGGGGTTTTCCACCAACCAGCTCTGTAACACCACCTGGGAGTCCTAGAGTTCAATTAAGTTCTAACATTATCCACTGGGAGTTAGTATCTGATTCCACATGTTAATGGTTAAGTTCCACAAGACTGCCCATCTCAACCTGTCCCCACCCACCCCACCCCTTCAGGGTCCTGTGCTTCTGACCAACCCAACCGGCTATAAACTGGAGGTCCCAATCAAATCCTCGGGTTTGATTAAGTGCTAGAACAGCTCACAAAACTCCGTAAAACATCTCACTTACCAGATTAGGGGTTTATTATAAAAGGATCTAACGCGAAGGGCCAGACGGAAGAAATGCAAAGGGAAGGCACCTGGAAGAGGGTGAGGAGCTTCCAGGCCCTTTCTGGACATGCCACTCCGGGCATCTCTGCGTGCTCACCACCCAGAAGCTCTCCAAACCGCTCAGAGCCCATGGCTCAGGGGTTTTAGGGAAGTTTCCTTAAGTAGGCATACAGGCCATGAATGATCAAGTCAATCTCTAGCCCCTCTTCCCTGGAGGTCAGAGGGTAGGGCTGAAAGTTCAACCTCCTTAGCACAAGGTTGGTTCCCATGGCAACCAGTCCCCATCCTTAGGGGTTTTCTAAAAGTCACCTCACTGACATAAACTCGGGTGTGGCTGAAAGACACTCTTTTCATCTTTCTCACTCTGGAGCTCCTTGAGGACAAAAGAGCAACTATTTTAGCAAAAGATTCTCTCTGGCTTTTAGGAACTGTGTGCCAGGGCTATTATACAATACATCACAATTATCACAGATGCCCTTCCTTCTTCCTTTTTACTGCTCTTCAGGGCCTACCTCCATTCCCTTCACCTGGGCCCTGAAAGGTGACACCTCAACGCCCAGCTGTACCCAACATGTGTATAAAGTTATGGAGTTTAAACGAAGAACCCTCACAGGCAACCTAGTCCTTCAACTCACATAAGAAAATGAGGCCAAAGATCACACAGTACCTCAGAGGTCCAGCAGCGCCAGACCCCGGCCTGGGCCCCGCCACGGCCACGTGCCTGCAGCATCACAGCAACACCCTCACCACTGCATCTCCAGATATGTTCCAGCTGCCTACCTTTCCCTCCTCTACATCAGCTTCTACTCATCCACCAACAATCAGGTTAAAGTTCTTTCATAGCCCAAGACCCTTTCTAGACACTCCATTGGGGTGTAGGGGCTTTTGTCCGCACAGCCCCCTGTGCTGTGCTTCCCGCGCCACAGGGCTAAGCTACTGCTTAACGCGGGTGTGACAACCTTCCGCACTTGGCAGTGAGCATCATCGGGTGAGGACCGAGGTCTCTGTCTCGAGGATCACTGGGCCTCCTGCCCTCAGCACAGAAAAACTGTCCGAATGTAGCAGAGTGTTACTACTCTTCTCTCTTTCAGGTGAGTCTCTCCGGCTCAGCCCTAACCTCTCGCTAGAAGCAATGACAAAGTCACTCCTTCTCCCAGGTCTCCTCAGCCGGCGTGGAGGAGGCACGAGGCCGCAATGGCCCCCTCGGCGGAGGCGCGGGGCTGTGCGGGCCGGCGGGGCCGGGGCCTGCGGGGAAAGCGGCGGGGCGGTGCCGCCCGCCTCCGCCTCCGCTGACCTCCGGGGCTGCTCTGTGACCTTGGAGTGGTCCTGGCACAGAACCCGAGTTTCCCGGTCTGAAAACATGCATCGCTCCTGCTTTCCTTATTAAAGAGAAGAAGGCCACACACTTTGAGAAAACCGCACGTGCCCAAGGTCAACTCCCGGCTCCTGCCTTGAAGAGCTGTGTGGCTGTGCACCCTCCGGGGTCCCTGCCCTCGCCGGGACTCTCCCGGTCAGTAACCGGGCCGACTGCCCGGGAACCCCACCGCCCCGTACCCCGCCCGCACCTCAAACCTCTCAGCCCACCTTCGCCCGCTCGGCCCCCGGCCAAAGGGGGACGTGCCCTAGCCTCCCTTACCCGCCGGGGGAGCGTAGGCCCGGAATGGGATCGGGATGCTTGCCCTCTTCCCCACGGAGGCCGTGGGACCACCGGGGGGTCGGTTCAGGAGGCGGCGCCACCCATGCCGCAGGCAGAGGCAGCTCCTCCACATCGCGCCGGAGGGCATGGCGGCACAGCTGGTGCGAAACCTGAGAGCAGGAAACAGCGGAAGGATCCCCAAGCTGCACCCTCCGGCTGTTCGGAAACCTCTCTCCGCCTCCTCAGAGCCCTCACACGGCCGTGGACGCCGCCATCTTCCGCAAGTCGCCGGCGACCCGCCGTCACTCCCGAGCGCCCGCTGCGCACGCCCTAGTCAATCAGCGTCGCGAAAGCACCTGGCCCCACCCACTCCGAGCCGCTCTTTTAAGGAAGACTACAAGTCCCAGAGGGCGCCTCGCACACCACGTCACGTGTTCTCTTCGCTCACCAATGGGTGGAAGCACCGCCTCAGTCTGCTCCCGCCCCTCAGGCGCTACCTGGCCAATCGGAAGGGCTGGTGTGTTTGTGTGTGAGTGTGTGTGAGTGTGTGTGAGCGTGAGTGTGTGAGTGTACGGGCGCGCGCACGGGCGCGCGCGCAAGTGAGGAAGGGGACTCAACTCCAGACCGGCGGGCCCCGCTCGCAGGTCCCGGAGTCCCGGTGGCGGCCGGAGCGGTTGGCCCGCAGGCCGCGGGCGGGTGGTGCGCGGCTCCCGCCCCAGGCCAGCGCGTGCGCGCCCGGCCCCTCCCTCCCCGCCGCCCTCCTCGGCTCCCGCGCGGCGGCGGCGGTTCCTCTCCCCCTCCCCCAGCCCTGGCTCCGGGGGACCCCGCGATGCCGGTCCGCACTGAGTGTCCCCCACCGGCCGGCGCCTCGGTCGCCTCCGCGGCCTCGCTCATCCCTCCGCCGCCCATCAACACGCAGCAGCCCGGCGTGGCCACCAGCCTGCTCTACAGCGGCTCCAAGTTCCGCGGCCACCAGAAGAGCAAGGGGAACTCGTACGACGTAGAGGTGGTGCTGCAGGTGAGCGCCGGCCGGCGGGCGGGCCCGAGGGCCTCCTCGCGGCGCTCACAGGCCGAGCCTGCCGGCTCCTCGCCTCGAGCCCGCAGCCGGGACCAGGCCCTGGCCGCCGGGCCTCCTGCAGCGGCGCTTCTCCCGGACTTCCCCGCCGGTGCCGCACACTGTCCCAGCCCGACCGGCCCCCAACCGGAGCCTGCGCGAGCGGCTCCCGGCGGACCGACCTCTCCCGCCCGGCAGCCCGCGCCCCGCGCCGCCGGCACCCGGAAGCCCCCACGCCGGGCGCCTCCCCCGCCGGCCTGCCCTCCGTGACCTGTCACCGCGGCCAGCCCTCCCTGCCGCCCCTCACACCCTGAACAACGCTCCGTCGGCTTCTCCCGACGGGACCCTCCCGGCAGGGCCTGTGCTGGCTTTCCCCCAGCCCTGAGACGTGCCCGGGCCTCCTTTCCTCATCCCGGGTCCTGATGCGGGGCCCCCCTGCCCCTGTCAGCCAGCCTCCTCAGACCCGCCACCACCCGAGCCTGAGGGCCCCCATCCCCGACCGGTGCTGCGGGGGCTCCCGCCGCGTCCCGCACGCCGTGTCTTTCTTGGTCTCCCCGCAGGCCCTTGGCCCCGTCTCCCCCTGTGCTCTGGCCTCTCCGCCAGTCCTCCCCCTCCTGCTATCTCCCTCTCCAGCTCCAGGGGACCCTCTGCGGGTTCTTAACTTTTATCTACACCACCAAGGCTTCCTCCAGTCTCCTCTCCGCCCATTTTTTAAATTAAAACATTGTTGTTGAAAGTATTACATACTCCCTTTCCCCCCCATTGACCTCCTCCTAGCCTGCCCCGCCCCCCATTTGACCTGGATTTGTGAGTACCTGCAGTCAGCCCGACAGCTTTGAAAAGACAGCCTCACCTGCCTCGCCTTCCACACCCCTTCCCCTTTCCCCTCACACAAATGCTGGTACACTTGACGTTTGCCCAGCCAAAGGCGATCAGCTGTGGTTAACACTCCTCTCTTCCCTGTGAAAATGTCCCTCGCTGTAGCTGCTGTTGCTTGCCCCAGAACCATTTCCCCCTCACCTGCCCCTCTGTCCTTAGCCTGACCCCCACCTCTTAGGCTGTTTCCAGATGCCCCTCCCAACATGCCTTGTGGAAGTCCTTACGGAAGCTTTGAGGTCCTAGGTGCTCACTGCTGCCATGTGTGAGACGGCATGTAGAATGTCTTCGCCATACACTTGCCCTTTGCCCTAATACATTTTAAATCTTAAACAGTCTCTCTTCTGAGCAAATAGGTCTCCCATCCAAAAGACTATGGGAGAAACATTTCCTGCTAACTATAAGCTTTCATCAGCCTCTTTCCTCTCTTTTGTGGGAATCATTTCCCCCTTTTTTGGATTGGGAAAGTTGCATCTTCATGTTAATTGTATCTTTGAGCCATAAACTTAAAGTTCTATTATGAGCCATGATATTTGTTGTAATCTCAGTCTTCATAATTATGTACCTCCTGGTGATTGAAATGTAAGAATTTAGTATGAAGGTTTTTTTGCAACTAATCATAAAATTCTGAAAGTGCGATCCCTGATGTGGGTCATTTTTGGAATGATCTTGAATTTGTGTCCATTGTTTAATATAATGGTTTCTGGTGTGATAGGGACCAATTGGCAGGGTAGCAAAGTGTCTAAGAGAAGTCGCTCTGGTTACTGCGGTAACACGTCTGCCGTCATTGGTGTGTGGTTTCTGGAATTCTGTCAGGTGCCAGTTTCCTTGTGAACCCGTAGAAGTGGTGATGGAGTTGGTACATGACTGATGGATCTTAGGAGGCCCAGAGCAGAAATCTGGCTGGTGCCGGGAGCTCCTGAGTAGGATGTGTGGTGGTGGGGGTGGCCATGCCCAGGAATGCTGGCCTCTGTCTGGATTGGTGAGCTGCTGGTCCATTACTGAGAGTCAGTGGCATGTGAATTGCCCCATCATATGTTCTTCGAGCCAGAGCTGGTTTCTTAGAATACTGCTGCCTTTTATAATGCATCCTCATTCCTGCTTGCTTTCTTTTTTTTCACAGCAGCTTTATTTTTTACTTATTTTGTTAATTCTTGCCTGAGGATATTTTTTTATTGATGTTTAGAGTGGAAGGGAGGGGAAGAGACACAGAAAGAAACATTGATGTGAGAGAGACACATCAATTGGTTGCCTCCTGCATGCACCCCTGACCTGGGGCCAGGGATCCAGCCTGCAACCTACGTATATGCCCCTGATCAGAATCAAACCAGAGACCCTTTAGTCCAAGAGCTAACACTCTTATCTACTGAGCCATACCGGCTAGGACACAACAGCTTTATTTAGATACTAGAGGCCTGTGCATGAAATTTCATGCACTGACCGGGGGAGGGGAAGTGTCCCTCAACCTGGCCTGTGTTCTCTCGCAGTCTGGGACCTCTTAAGGGATGTCCAGCTGCCAGCTTAGGCCTTCTCGCCATCCGGGACCTCTTCTTGCTCCTTACCGCCTGCCTGTAGTAAGAAGCTGGGCTCATGGCTGGAGAGCACAGCGGCAATGGCAGGAGCCTCTCCCGCCTCCAAGGCAGCAAGCACTAAGGAGCAGGAGCTCACCCTGTGGGAACCCACTGACCACCAGAGGGCAGCTCCTGTGTTGAGCATCTGCCCCCTGGTAGTCAAGTGTGCATGATAGTGACTGGTTGTTCCTCCATTTGGTTGATTTACATATTATATAATATAATATAACATATAACTATATATATTTGATTTTATTATATAGGATAATTCACTTAACATAAGAGTCACCCACTTGCGGTGTACAATTCAATAGTTTTTAGAATGTTCACAGAAATTGTATATCATCACTGCATCATCACCTTGAAAAGAAACCCCAAACCCCTTCCAACTCGAGGCAAACACTAATTTTTTTCTAAGACTTGCTAATTCTGGACATTTCATGTAAATGGAATTGTACAATATGTGACCTTTTGAGTCTAGCTTTTTCCACTGAGCGTGTTTTCAGGATTTACCCGTATCCTAGCATGTGTCTGCCTCATCCCTTTTCATTGTTGCATAATACATGGCATGGGCATACAACATTTTACCTATCCATTGGTCAGTGGAGGGACATTAGGTTGTTTCCACTTTTTGGCTGTTAAGAATGCTGCTGCTGTGAGCATGCATGTACAAGTTTTGTGCGGACATATGTTTTCATTTCTCGTGGATAGATACTTAGGAGTGGAATTGCTGGGTCACATGGTAACTGTTTAACACTTTAAGAAACTGCCATCCTGCTTCCCAGTGACTGCACCATTTACATTCCCACCAGCAGTGTATGGAGGTCACAGTTGCTCCGCATCCTCACCAGCACTTGCTGTTGTGCATCTTTTTTCTGTAGCCAGCCTAGAGGGTGTGAAGTGGTGTCTTCATTGTGGTTTTGAGTTACGTTTCCCTGACAACTGGTGATGTTGCACGGCTCTGCCTGTGCTCTTTGGAGTGCTGTTTCTCTTTTTGAGATTCCAGTTTAAAGAGTACCTCAGACTTTGTGAGATTCTGACTGGGGTTGTTATTGTTGTTGTTGTTTATCTCTCCTGCCATCTAAGAAACCAAGAGTAAAGTGAGGGCCAGGTCAGCATGAGAAGAATATTACAAAGAGCAGCTGTTGGGTACGACTGCGCTGTGAGACCTTCTTGCTGAGCATTTTCCTTACTCTTCTCCCTGAGACGCTGGCCTGCCCTTTGGTTAAAGCTCTATACACTGGGTGCATTGGAGTTCACCAGCCGTCACCACGATCAGTTTGGGCAAAATGGGAGAGACACATGGTTGAATGGAAGGCAAATTAAAATTCTGATTCTGTGATAATCCATGCAAAATGATAGCCAATTTGTGGCTTATGTTTTAATCTTATTAGCAAGTATCTTTGCCACCTGATGCCCTTCCAGCAGTGGTGAATTGAATTAAGTGAGAACTGCATACATGAAATCTAAGACCGCAGGTTGGAGTTGTGTATCTTTTAATAAAAGTTCTTTGCAGAACCCTGTTAGTGCGGATCAGCTGCTTCAGGTAACATCCAGGGCAGGGTCAGCAGATGGGATTTGAAAATGCTTTGGCAATTTTCACATGGAACACTTCTGTCACCCGCACCGAACTGGGAGCACTTTAGCTTCACTGAAGCCCATTTGCTTTGGTGCTGACCTCATCTGGCTGAGTGAGTTCATTGCAGTTTTTGAGGATCACCTTAGTATTTGATTTACTGTGTAATTGGAAGTAGTTGAGTCCCAAATCTGATAAATTCCACAAAACTTT